TCTATGCAAGTCCAGGTCTTCGAATAGCTCCAATGTAACGGTACCTTCCTATTTAAAAGTTTTTGATAAATTTAGCTACATTATTCACCGTTTATTCAAGTTTCGAATTTGAAAATGGTAATGGCTTATGACAACAATGTAGGTCCACGTCATATAAATCCCAATATAACGGCTATATTCTGTATTTTTAAAATTTAACAGAATGTTTAACGGTTTTTATTTTTTGGAAATTTCCAAATTCGTTCTAATGGTGGAGGGTATTCAAAGTTCGGCCGGCCGAACGTACTGCTTTTTATCTATTTCTTTTTTTTTTTTGGAAATTTTCCAATTTCTCCAAATGGTGGAAGATATTCAAAGTTCGACCCGGCTGAACTTGCTGCTTTTTTACTTGTTACTTTTAACATTTTACGTACACCTCAGTCCAGAAGAAACTACTAAAGCTAAAATAGGGAAAATTTGCATTAGTGTCACTATTGGATGACATTTTGCTCAAATTCCATTAAAAATCGAATTATCTTCATTCAAAACATAAATAATACAATTCTAATACCCCAAAAAACTCTTTGTTGGGGTAATATAAGTTTTATTCACCCAAAAAGTTTGTAATACCTCGAAATACTTGTTCTGGACCCTCGATGTTATATATCTATCTTCCCATCTCTCCGAGCTCAGTCGACCTAGCTCTGTGTGTGTCTATTTGTCCGTCCGTTAAATTATTATCACGCTACAAGTCTCAATTGTGGTCCGATCCACTAAATTTTGAACGGAGATAGGATTAAGTTCGGAAGTGAAGAGTCTATTGTTGGTGGAGATGATCGCAAAATATCAAAAAGATAAAAGAGACCAAAATCCGATTTATTGATGATTTTGTAATCATTCTATAGATCACAATTAAAGACCAATCGGAGTGTTATTTTTCGTGCAGTTAAAGTTTAGAAAAAGGCAGAAAGCCTACGATTTTGGGTGGTCATGGGATAATATTTAGCGAGTGAAATAGAAAATATTTTTTGCATGAAAAATTCGAACATTTCCCGATGATATAACACAAATAATTGAGCAGTGAACTTCTAAAAATTAGGGAACGAACTTTGATTTTCGGAATGATATTTAAAAAAGTCTAATTATATATTCTGAAAGGAAAACAAATAAAGTTCAGCAGGGCCGAACTTTTATACTCTCCACCAAAAAAAAAAAACGTAAATTATATATTCTGAAAGGAAAACAAATAAAGTTCAGCAGGGCCCAACTTTTATACTCTCCACCACCTTGTTTCTCAAAGTAAAGTGAAATAACGGAAAGAGTAGAATATGCCTACTTAGAATATACATCTGTTTTAATTAAAATAAAAAATACCCAAATAGCGAAACCCATATAATATTCTAATTGGAAATTGTGAAAAAAAAACCTTCGAGAAACCTCAGGTGCCGTTATATGAGGAGTCTACCAATTAGTGGACCTATTTTTGCAAGAAAATAACAGACCTTTCAAAAACCCGAAATGTCAAGTTTAAGCTGATTTGGTTAGAAATTTTGGCAGCAATCGTCAAAATAACAAAAAACAGGGGGTACCGTTATATTGGGGTTATACCAATTAGTGGACCTGGAGTGAATATTTTTTGCAGGGAGAGAAAAGACATACCGAGAACCCCAATTGTCAAGTATCAATTGATTTGGTTGGAAATTTTGGCAGAAACCTTGGAAGTACCGAAAATCTGGGGGTACCCTTATGGACTCCATTGTGATATAAACAAACAGACAGACGGACATATATATATATATGCTTTTTGCGGTTTCTGATCAATATTTCGTAGTATTGCAGATGCTTCACACATTTTTTATTCAGCCTTATAAATTTCCTTTTATTGAATAAGCAGATATTCTCGCATCTGACTTTCTCTAGCTGCTTTTTAATATCTTGTCAGAAATCCTACCAATAATAGACCCCTCTTCTTTACATAATTAGACTACATTATGAGCAAATTACTAAAACAAATTTGCAATCAATTTTACTATCATTTGATAGTTTCTTTACCTCCACACATATCCCAAAAACTAATTTTCTACTCTCAGATCTTAGTTGATTTTTCCTCATAATTTACTAGACAAAAATTTATCCACACCAACATCATCAGACAGCCAACAGCCCATCATCATGTTAAAGAAACATGTCTACAGGAAACGGAAACAGAACAAGAACCGAAAAACGAACAAAATCGACAAGAAAAACAGGATACCAAAAAAACGAACACATCAGCTATGGTAGCTCAGGCACAAGATTTGTTAGCTCTGGCAGAAACAACAAACAAACTTAGGAATGGAGACGAAGTAGATGAAGAAGGAAAATAAAAACGGAAGATAATTTATCATATTGTCATGCATAAAATCGTAAATCGTAAAGCTAATAGTCTCATTAGTCAAGGGGGAGGACGATGTAGAAAACGAAAAACTAGATTTGCACTGCCATACACTCACCATATGACTTCATATACATGTGTATGTGTATTTATGGTGTAGTTGAGAGTGTGTGTGTTTGTGATTACTTTTCGATTCTCTTGGGTAAATTGCGTTGGAAAAGAGGAAATGCTATGGTGCACAAATTGCCCTTAATCCACAATAAAATGGAAAACTTTACAAATCACAAGAACGAAATTGAATTTTTCTTTTAGCAACTCTAAGCAGAACTAACTCACATCTGTGTGTGTGTGTATAATTTTACATTCGCACATCAAATTGCAATTTGCTTTGTTTAACGACAGAGTACATAATGAAATTGTTTTAGTTTGTTAGAGAAAATCTTAATTATGGAAATGTTTATAATATTTCCTGCCACTCATCTTATTCTCATAAAGACAAAGATACAACGGAAATTACAAAATACTAAAACTTCGAAAATTCAAACTCCATCAATATTCGACCCTTAAAAGAATTGTATCTATCGACTTATCCGCCGAAGCTCTCAATAAAACCATATTTTCATAGGGTCTTCTATATCTGAAAATCTCTTTTCTCTTGTCTTTCATTCGTAGAGGTCTTTTGAAAAATATAACAAAAATAGAAGACCGCAGGGAAATATTCTTTCAATCCAAAAAAAGTAAAATTGTCTCCAGCTCCTTCCGAGTACACAAGATCTCAAGACGGACATCCAAAAAAACAACAAAAACAAAAAAGGGGTTTCTATTTATAGAAGCCCTGAAAATCTTCTTCTAACTACAAAAATATTTTTTTTACCAAAGCAATTTGAAAGGTCTTCTCAGTGTAAAAAAACCTCTGAGACCCCAGAAAACCAGGCTGACAGGACCTAATATCAGAATTCAAAAACATCTATCTATGAAAAACCTTTCGATTTTTTTCCACAAATAGACATATCCTTTTCAAAAAAATCTGAAGGGACATCTGTCCATAAAAGTTCTCTAGAAACAAATGATTACTAAAAAGTCTTCTTTTGAGAAAATTAAAAAAATCCCTTATACCCCAAGACGACCTCTGAAGAATTTTCTATTTTAAGAATACCAATAGAATATTATCTATAGAAGATCTATAGCAGGTTAAAACTACATATATGAACGATTCGAATCTTCCCTTCATAGACCCCTTTAGGAAGTCTACAATCCATTCATGGAACACCTTTAGTGGAAAATTTTCTCTAGAAGATTCTAAAGACTTCTTCCATGTATAGAGGTCTTCTATAGTCTAGAGGTCTTCCATGGATAGAGGATCCTTTCAAATTCTTCTTTGAACCATTTAGAGATATTTTAAGGAAAGAAATAGAGGTCTCCTGGAGGACTTCTTGGGATGGAAAGCTTTGTTGGGTCCTTTGATTATTCTTTCATAATCTTCTTTCCCTCAAAGACGTATATAAGGTCTTATAAAATACCTTTAGACCAGAAAAGACGTCTAGAGGGCGGTATTAAATGGGATACCCCATTATATGGTACAGTGAACCCTCTTATAAAGAATATCTTCCCAGGATGTCAAATGGAGCTGGCATTTAAATTTCAAAACATTGAATATTTTTTGTTACAAAATTGGCGATGTTCGACCGCCATTTGTCATAACCTCCATATTTTAGATGCATTTTCCAATCGCATTTGTTTCAATTTGGCCTTTAAGGATTTAAGAGGATATAAACCTTTCTCGAAGAATGTGTTCAGTGTGGGTCCATTATTAGTCCATTGGCGGAACCTTCTTATAATCGAAATTTTGAAAGTATGAGATCAATAATTGTCCTTAGCTTCAAAAAGCTCTCTCAAATTAAAGTAGTGAGTAAAACTCAGTCGAAGCAAGGAACATTGTTAAAGAAATTCTCCAATTATTTTTTCTTTAAGGTCCCATTCACATTTTCAACTTATATGTTAGAATTTAGTATTTTTGGTTCGTAACCGATAGAAATATCTGGGAAAAATATTTGGTATAAAAAGATATTGGCCATCCACCCTGTAATGTTATCGCCAAATTTTAGGAATTTTGATAATTTTCGATTTGTCCGTTATCCAAGTTTTCAAATGGTGCAAGGTATAAAAAGGCCCGATGACATAAATATCCATTTTATAGAAACCCCGTTCTAAACCCTGCCACATTGTTAGCCCCTCTTTCAAAACACTCTGTTGTAACTAACTTCATTTAAGCATGAAATACATTTTTCCTTTTGCAAATTTACTTTCATGCCACCACTCCTCTCCTTAGGTTCTCAGCATCCCTTTTGTTACGCATACTCAAACAATAAATGAAATTCTCGAAAAACTTTTTCAATTTATGACGACTACAAAATTTTTATTTGCCTCGGGGGCAGTCAGGCAATGAAAACAATTGTAATTTTGTTTCTCAATTTGTGGCTTTCTCTGCTACCGAAAAGTAAACATACGAAAAGGACGAACAAGAGATATTAGTTAAATAGATTTCGAGAATTCATTCAATAAAACAAAATATTACAACATCTTTTTTTGTTTAATAACTAATTTGTCTGTTTGCTAACCCGTGAACAAATATTTTTTGTGATTTTAGGTTTGGTTTCAAAATCGCCGCGCCAAATGGCGTAAAGCGGAACGCCTCAAGGATGAACAACGCAAGCGTGAAAATGGCGACTGCAGCAGTGTTTCATTGGATAAGGTAAATAAAAATACAAATAAAACAAAAATAAGCTATAAAAAACCACAACAACAATAATTGATGCTAGCTATACGCATTGCAACAATAATGCAAATGTGTGGCGGAAAATTGATCGGCACCAAAGAAAGGGGATAGTTGCCTTGGGAAAAGGATGTGTGAAGGAAAAAAATAAAAACTGGTGTTTGCAAATCAAAATTCAGGGGTTAAATATTGAATATTAAAGGGGGGTGAAGAAAATATTCCACTCCTCGGCAAACACTCATCCTAGAGAATTGACTGTTTGAAATCTTTTGATAATGGATTTTTTTAAATATTTCCAGCTCCATGACAGCCGTGAATCATCACCGGATATAACCGGTGAAATGGATGACGATGAGCCACATCCTCGCTCCCACAGCCCGGGACCAGGGTCGTCACACAGTCCCCATGGCACAGGAGCTGATTCGGACAATGAACGCCCCCTGTCCTCGAATCACATGAACAGCGGCCATTCTGGCTCCCAATCGATTGGATCCATTAGTGCTGGTTCACCCTCACCTGGGGCTCGAACGCCACGCAACCCCACAAATAGTCCATCAAATTCACGCAATACCGATTCACCCATTGAGGTGGGAGGCCCAATATCATTGGCCACACGTTCAAGTGCCTCCTCAACGGCACCAACAACAACGACAACTCTAAATACAGCGGCATCGAATCATCATTTCGGTACTCACATCTTTGGCTCATTCGGCAGTAGCAGCAGCAACAATGCCATGATGGCCGCAGCGGCAGCAGGAACAAATGCCAGCGGAGGAAATGGCAGTGGTGGCAATAACAATGAAACGTAAGTAGAAAATAGATTGGAATAGAGCGAGAGTAAGTGGGTGGGTGGGGAGAAGGGGGATCAATAAAATGATTATCTGTTCGTTAATGTGAAACACGTGACCAAACAATTCAGGCCTCATTACATTTCGACAAACCCAGCAGCGGCGGTAGCAGTCGCTATGAAACTCTTAATGTATCCGGCGAGCGTGATGTTTCCGCTAAAACTAAGAACGTTATCCGTTTAAAGACTTTTTAACACTCGGTGACTTTGTTGGCAAAACAAACATGGTCCAACGCCGGGGTGCACACGCGCACAGGACGACAATAGATTTCATGTCGTTTTTGTTGTCGTGTTTTTTTTCATTTTTGTGACAAAAGAAGGAAACAAAGAACACAATACGAACGTGTGCCCACCATTTACACAACGAGTCCACAATTATGTCTGGGCAAAAATAACCGCTGCGAAGATTGTTGGAAAAATTCGCAGGAATTTTGATAAATCAATTTGGGGAGAAGAGTATTGGGTCATTTTTGGGCACACTGCGGTGGAAGAAATTCATATGAGAAACTTCTCTACAGGTTAGAAAAAACAGACTCTATAAGAACAATATGAAATCGTTTATAAAGACGGCTTAATATTGGCTTGAAGAACCATTTTTTACCCGATATATATTTATTTGTAACAACCATAGCTTGGTATGACTTAAAGTTTGAAACAAGAGTTGGAAATTCGATCTTAAAAGAGTAAAATACTAAATGGTACAAAAAATAAGTTAAAAGATATCTGGCGGTTTTGCCAAAAGATGTATACCCTCAGTCAAAGATCGTTTATTAAAATATATTTTGACTTGTGCTATGATTATTCAAACTGGTGACCTTTATGGAGGAGGTTCCAAAGGAGTAGGGCATTTCGTGGCTGACCTAAGTAAAAATGTGCCTGATTTGGACTATATCGGCAACTTCATTTATCTTCACATGAAAAGTGTAATAATTTTTGAAAAATGTAGAAATGTGCTTAAAGTGCCAGATATAGTGGACCGAAGTATTCTACTGCATCAAATACTGAAAAATATTTTAAGAAAATCCAACATTTATTTCCAAGTTTATGCGATTATTTGTTAATCCAAACCGTTTGATAATGAATTCTATATTCATCTCAGATCGCTGTTTACCAAGTTTTCAATAATATCTGACTTGTTTCGCAAATTATTAGAGATATAAGAATTGAAAATTGTGACTCTTTGTGGGGGAGGTACCAGAAGGCTCAGACCGAAAATTTTTACGCAATCTTTTGTGTTAATAAAAATATTGGGATATGTGAAATTTGAGGGGAAATCGGATGCTTATCTCGCATTTATGAGCCTTTTGGTCGGATGCTTATCTCGCATTTATGAGGCTTTTGGTCCTTCAAAAATTTGATCCGATGTGGGGGAGGTACCAGAAGGGGTGCACCGATCATTTTCACGCCAGCTCTTGTGTTAATAGAAATATTGGAAGTGTGAAATTTGAAGGGAAATCGGATGCTTATTTCGAATTTATGAGCGTTTTGGTCCTTCAAAAATTTGACCCGATGTGGGGGAGGTACCAGAAGGAGTTAACCGATATATCCCATCTTCACGTCATATATTGTGTTACTAGCAATATTTTAAGGTATCGGATGATTATTTCGAGTTTTATGAGCTTAATGGTTATTCAAAATTTAGATTTTTTTGTGGAGGAGGTACCAGTAGGAGTGGACCGATGTATTATATCTTTACACCAGATTTTGTGTTAAAGGAAATATTGGGATGTGTGATATTTGAAGGGAATCCGATGCTAATATCACTTTTCATGAGAAATATAATTATTCAACATTTTGACCCCTTGAGAGTTGAGGTACTAGAAGAAGTGGTCTGACACATTCCATTTTGGTACCTTATAATGTGTTGATAGAAATAGTGGGATATGCCAAGTTTGAAATTAATCGGATGCTCAATACCCCTATTATGAGCGTGATAGCTATTCAAAAGTTTGACTCATTTCTGATGGTGGTACCAGAAGGAATGAACCGATATATTCCATCCCATATTCAAACCAGGGACTGGATTCTTGTTCTATGAAAATATGAAATGGAAAATATTTCCTTTATAAAATTTTTCATTTGACATTTCTTTCCTTTATAAAAGTCTTCATTTTACATTTTCATAGAACAAGAATTGAGGCTCAGGTCTTGTAAAGAATAAAAATATTGGGAAGTGTGAAATTTGAAGATAAATTTCGACCCTTTGTATGATTGAGTGGATCGAAATTTTACATTTTCGCACCTGACATAGGACAAATATTTGGATTTGCAAAGTTTGAACAAAAAAGTATGATCCTTTCTTGTTCCGTACGGTAAATTATTTTCTCGAAATATTTTGACCATTTTTGGGGAAGGTGCCAGAAGAAGTACACCGACATTACTCGAACTCCAAACTCAATTTAAATTTGACAATAATATTACGGTGTACCTAGTTTGGATAAAATCGGATACTTCTTTCAAGAGTTATCGTGCGCCCAGCTAAACTGACAGACGGACGAACATCTCTAAATCGACTCCAAATTTCCTGAAAAGGTTTTGGTCCAAAGAGACTTAGGGTCTAAAACCGTCATTGCTATGAAGCACGTTTTGGCCAGATCAAAAGCAATATGTAGCCATATTGCTGAGAGTATAAAAAGATGGACCTCTTTACGGAGTCTTCTATTAATAGGAGTCATTAAAAAGGGTTTAATATTTGGAACACTTCTAGAGATTCTTTTTATCCTTAAAAAACCCTTAAGGATGTTCTATGCACAAAGGACCTTCGAAAGGTCTTTTATGCCTGGGGTCCTATCAATAAAATATCTCTAAATTGTCTTATATCTATAGAGGAATCTAAAAGGATCTTCTATTCATAAAAACCTTATGCGGATCCTCCATTGATATAGAGCATTCCTTCAGTTAAACATCTTAAAATGGTCTACTATTCCTCAAAGACATTTAAAGGGGTTCACCTATAAATGACCGCTAGAGGGTCTTCTATTCATAGATAAACGTTTCACTATTGAAAACTTCTAAAGAATATTTTATCCACAGAGGACTTCTAAAGAAGGCAAGTTTTCAGGGAGTTTTCAAATCACCGTTGGACAAACCTGTTCAGTTCGTTAGATTCTTGGGTGAAACATTATTTTTTAAAAAAGACGATGATATTGATAAACCTTTTTCATACTAACACTGCAGACCCCATAAATAAACACACAATAAACTCACCTTTGTAGTAAAGAGGCTAGTATGAGAGCATATTCGAAAAGTTGTAAGTCCCTCCAAATTTTATAGTCTGAACCTCTGTAACACTAGTCCCGCTCTTAATATTTTTGTCAGCTAAAATTGTCACTGTCCAACATTTCGCCGTATACCTTAATGCCGAATTCCCAAATTAAGACAAAATTCCACTGCAGAAATGACGATATTTCTAAATGAGCGTAAAAAGCTTTGGTGTAGGATTATTATAGACTAAAAGGATTATTAAAGAGTCAGAGAACTCGCACTTGAGGTTTAAAGACTAATAGCCGTGCAAAAGGAGAACAATTGATTAGGCCACCCGAAGCTCTGCTACATTGATACCGATACAAATGTAATGATTTGATAGAGTCATGATTTGGATTGAGAGGTTCAGCTGAACAAACTTAAGTCTCTATCCTGAGTCTCAATGGTATAAGCAGGTCAAAATAGCTTTCAGTTTGAATTTCCTACTCAGAAAACTGCCAACTTAGAACCAATATCTTAACAGGTTGTCAAATTTATAAATTTGGAAACAGAAAAATCGGAGCCAGGTTATTAAAATAGTCGTTTATATTTAATTTGCCACTCCGTTTTTATATTCGTGATCAGCGTAAAATTCTAAAATTACTTAATTATGTTCGTTTGTTTGACGTAGATCTTTGAAATTTAAAAAGGGTAATTTTTTGAATTGAATCGGTGTTTTTTTTTGCGCATTCATTTCCTTTCAACATGCATACATAAACAGGGTCCTAATTCTTTAAATCTGATTCACTGTGCTTTATCAACAACTAATTAGCGCTCAAGTGATTTGTTATAAATAATTGCAATTTGAGTACAAAAAAATTAAAAAATAAAAATTACCCATTATAATTTTTGAAGTTATTAACAAATTTCCGTAAATTTACCACCCTATTTTGCATTTGATTTGAAACAGTCAATAAATATAACAATTCTCACACAATACAACTTAAAACGATTAACAACAACTCTTATGAGTGGTACTCATACTCAATAATCCCACACTCTTGCAATGATATCCGACTAATTCAATGGGTGAGTGCGTGTGTGTGTGAGGGCGATTATGATACACTCCAAGTGGGGTGACATTGATTCATTTCAATTTAAGTTGAAGAAACCAAAGCAAAGCAGTAACAACAACAAACACTTACCTCCTCAACCAAAGAGAATCACTTACAACCCACTTACACACATACATTCACTCACTCACGCACACACACCTCATGCTTTTCAACAATTACCGGTAACGTTTACAAAAGCAAATGCTGTTACTTTGTTGCGCTGTTGGACATTGCATACTTTTAGGGATGTCATTATTAACTCAGTCGTTGATTGTTTGATGGGTTGGTTGGTGTTAAACATTTTGCTACCGTTTTTCTTTTGAAATTCCCTTTTTTCTCTCTGGGTGGCTTGGCCGGGTTTTGGGGTGGTAGTCATTCATTGCGCCGCTGTTGTTGTAAACAAACATTGTTAAGCGTTGTAATGATACCATGTTTTGCAGCAGCAGCAAGAACAACAATTAGCTTGTGTTGCAATGTTAAAATCCAGCAACCACACCGCCACCAATGTACCTTTTGCATATTAGGGTTCTCAGGAATTTATTTGTGCAGTTTTTAATCCTTAAAAGTGTCGGTCATTATTGTAAATTTATTTGCCATCATTACAATGGAGGGTGTGGAAGCAAGGGTTGTGGGGACGACGACGGAAGGAAGAACGTTTGC